AAACACGAAGTTAGCTGTGAATGCATATATATTGCACATTAATTTTATAAATTAAGAAAACATAAACATTTTTTTAATTAATTATTATTATTATTAATTTTTTTTTTCTAGAAAGCTTACCGAGTTTTAGAAAAAAGTAACGATTTCATTCGACATTTCCGTTACAAATACTTGTACTTCTTCCCTAAATAAGTAACGAAAGTACAAGTAAAAGTACTAAATTTAAAAAGTAACGAAGTACAAGTAAAAGTACGTACTTTTTACTTGTACCGGCGGTACAAGTAACGAAAGTAAAAGTACTGCCATATATGTATTTGAGGTCACCCCCCGGAACCATTAAGATTAGCACTTAGTTCGTGAAAATCCGATCATTAGGCAGGGTGATATCTTTTTTTTTTTGCGGACTGTACATGTAAAATGAACTAAAATTTAAAATGTTATCATTTTTAATGCAACAATTGAAAATGATTAAAAATCTACGTTTATTTGAATACTTTTTTTAAAAATCGTATTATAAATTTGCTTCTAAGTAATATATTTTTTAGAGTGCTGCGATAACCCAGTGGTGCAGGGGTTTCCAACTGGCCGCCCGGGAGCCGCATCCGGCCCGCGAAGCCTTTTTTTTGTGGCCAGTGAACTAAAATATATTAGTTGTGATTTTTTGCTGACAATTTTTGTAAAAAATCTATATGGGTTTAAAATACTTTTCCCGTTAATAAAAACCTAATTTCTTCGTTTCTGTGACATTTAACATACCAACGGTGCAAAAAAAATTATTTCTTAGGTTTTGCATCCAAGAAAATATTTATACAAATACAAAAATAATCGGACCGTCTCCAGTAGCCCATTGTGCACCTCTAGTGCAACGTAAATGAACAACAACAACAAAAAAAATAATCGCGTATGTTGCTCTTTTTTATTTCATTTTTTTGTATTTTGTGAATATAATGTAGCATGTGCGTATCAGAAATTTTCTCGACGAAATTCTCCGATATTACTTTTTGAAACCACTCATTTAGGACGAAAATATTTACACATACATTTGCAAATTTTAAATTTAAAATGTAAATATCTATTCTTTGGTGGTTACAGCAGACAAACTGCAATTTTCTCATTGAATATTGTGTGTGCAACTATGCAAGTTTTAATACCAACCTTTTTAAAGTTTTATATCTTAACAATTAGATATCTGTTGCACATTAATTGTTTAATACATAGGTGCACACCAAAGTCATTGGAATTTTTAATATTTATTTAATATTTTTAAAAATATTATTAATAACAATTAACTATTTTTAAAAATCTAATTCTTATTTTAATTTGTAATTCAATACTTTTTTTTCAATACTGCTTTTTTTTTTTTTTATAACCGTCGTTGAACAGCCGACCCAATTTCATGGGTTTACGACAACTTACGTTCAACTCCGTAGCCTTGTAATTTTGAACCAATCCAGAAGACAAGGAAACTCCTGGATCAGTACCCCCAGAGGTATTGATTTGTTGTGGGAACATGAAGGACTTTGAGACTCGACAGATTTAACGTGCATCAGTCACCATTTACTACACGGGGAGTCTTCGGCCGGCGAGGATCGAACCCACGACCTCTTGGATATGGGCCCAGCGCCCTACCGACCAGGCTATCCAATACTTTTGCTTTGTACAACATGGTAAAAATCTGACAGTAATATTTAATGTTCCTTCAAGCATAAAAGAGTCCTACGTAAAATTTTGATAAAGTTACGCCCCGCCATTTGATTTGTGTTTTTAATTGTGGCACTCGGCCTCATGTAAGTTTGAAATCCCTGGAGAATCGGACTTTGCTTCTGAGGGTCCGAGATTTGATCCCTGACTCTGCTAAGACCCACTGAGTCCAGGCGATATACTACATACTCGTAAAATCTGTGGAATTGAAAGTCCTTTGGTCGGTCGCTGAGCAGAACCGCGTGGGTATAGGGATTAGGTTAAAATTTCCTTCCCCTTCAGATCTATGTCTAAATTGAGGAAGCGACCTCACAGAATTGTGATGGCATGTTTACGGATGATCCTCAGGCCTGTTGTCTGGGCTGCCGCCAATAGTCCATTCTGTAGCTCTAGAGTGATGTAAATAAAGTACCTACCCAAATATTTCTAAATAAAAATCTCAGGATTTTCAGACATAAAGCAGCTGCTAAGCTGCAAAAAAAAGGAGAAAGACTTTTTTTTCCTCCAAAATTTCGTAGAGGCTTTATCTTTTAAAGGTTTATAATGGCGTCTGTTACCCTTCAAAATGAAGAAATTTCTCTTAAATGTATTGTTAAAACTGGAACTTCGAATATCTTGTATTGGATTAATAATAGTAATATTTATCTTAAAATAGTAGCAACCGCAAATATTAAGATGAAACAAGAGTTTTAAGCTCCGTGTGATATTACTTGCTTTTAAGAAATTAAAATTTATAAAGCCACATCACACAAAAAAAAGCAGCGCGAAAACTTTCTGCAGATTAAAAATAATTTAAGCTGATGATTCGTGCAAACAATTGCGTTCTACCTAATTTGAAGTGGGAAATTTATTCACTTGTCTCGTACACCAGACAGATTATTCTCAATTAAAGAGACTCGAGTAAGTTCTTTCCATTAAATATAGTTTAAAGTGTAAAAAAAAATATGATTTCGAAATATTAAGTTTGTATACAGCTTGATTCAATCTGTTTACAAATCTTGATATTAAACAACATTAATGTTTGGTATTTTAATTTTCAAAAATATTATGAAATTTTATGCAATTTAATAATTTTTAAAAAAAAACTTCATGTCACGAAATAAAAGGAAAAGTTTCAAGTGAATCACCCCATTCCTTATTTCCTTATTCAGTTTTTATTACTATTGTACCAAGCACAACGGTTCGTGCGGACAATATTGCAGTCACAGACATCTGAGCATCTGAGTCCATTTAAGGACCTTTTTCCAATCATATTTAACTTGAACTTTGTGGTGTTTCGATCAGGTGGTGGTATGCAAACGAAATAAAGAGCCGTGATGGCTCAGGGGATAGAGCGTTCGCCTTCCAATGAGGTGAACCAGGTTCGAGACCCGGCGATGGCTGGTCGATAAGAATCCGACTTGCACCGACCACAGTGCGGACGTGAAATATCCTCAGTGGTAGACGGATCATGGGTTAGAGTCCCCTTGACGTCAGGCTAACCGTGGGAGTTTCTCGTGGTCTTCCTCTTCATGCAACGCAAATGCGGGTTAACTCCATCAAAAAGTCCTCCACGAAGGCAAATTTCTCCAAATACTCGACCCAGGAGTTCCCTTGTCTTCTGGATAGGGTTCAAAATTGCAAGGCTACGGAGTTAAACATTAGTAGTCTTGAACCCAATAATTGGGTCGGCTGTTCAACGACGATTGTAAAAAAAAAGAAGAAGTAAAGGCATTGAGTTCTGACTGTGTAGTTACATGTAGTAGTATGATAAGACCAAAATATGAATTATAACTTGAGCCAAGCTGGAATAGTGAAAATGAGGTAATGTATTTGCTGTTGATGTCGGGAATGTGATGCATCACTGCAATCGGTATGCTGCTATTGGTTTGATGTTCTTGTCTTCAGTTAAATTTTGCTGTAGAGCAAGAGGAGGCTTTTTCATAGAATTTGATACATAATTTCGCTATATTTTTGTCTATTGCATCGATGTTTGGGTCATGATGTACTGTGTCGTTTCTTACGAACCATTTGATTCTGGTGATTTGGCTGGTTAGGTGAGATGAAACGAGTTGTGTTAAAGTTCAATGAACAAATCACATAAATACATAACTTTGCTTCCATTTTGAAAACTAAAGGTATCAACAGCAGATGTTGACTGAAATGCAGCTCCTGATCATTCAGAATGTAGAAATAAACGAATGTTAGTGGTCACCTTAGTGAGGTGACCACGAATCTACCTCCTACTCGATACTGCTTTCGTACAAAATCAAGAATGATCGAAATATTTTAAATAAGTATACATATATCTATATATAATACATAAATAGAACACTTGCTTAATTTTTTGACGCAGTACGGCTTGTTTTGCTTTCTCGTAAATAATTTAAATATTTAATGAAGCATCATTTCTTTACCATAAGAATAATGCCTTTATTTTACATACGTTTTCCCAACCACTTTATCCTACACAATAAGCAATAAATATAATTTAACCTTGCTAAATAAGATATCACATTATGTCTTGTTAAAACTACATATTGTTTTTATTCGTAGTATCTTATCATATAATGAAATTATTTTTGCGCAATAATTCGATTAAGCTAATTGTTGTTACATATATTTGAAACCATTGCTGGCAGTAAAGATGGTCATTTTTATTAGCGTGACATTTTTTCTCCATATTTTGGACAAACTGTGAAATGTTTATGGGAAATTTCTTTTTAAACTTGTTCGTTCCTTAGCAACCGTGGGGAAAAATATAATATCAATGGGGAAAAATAAACTGGTCTTATTAAAATCATCTCTGTTGCCTAACAACAGAGGGAAATTTATAAAATTTCTCTTGGGAGGGGGATTATTAGACGAAATTTTTTATACACACCGCAGAGTTTATTTTCAACTGTTTGAAATGTTAAACTGGTTCCGAAAACGATTACATAAAAAATTGTGTATTTATATTTTCTGCTTATTATTACCTTTCATCTTATTGCCTTTAGCATTATCTCCGCAAAAAGTAAGTTTATTGTTTTGTCATAAAAATTGTTTTATTTTTTGTGCATAATAAAAAAAATAGCACAACTATTGACAATGAAAAAGGATCAATACTATCTGATTATCGATACTTAATTTTGATACTATCGATGATTGCTATCGATACTTATCGATATAACTTTAAATTTATACTTATCAATAAGATCCTTACTATCAATATAAGTGTAGTATCATCATTTATCAATCCAACTTTTATTTTGATTATAATATAATTGTATTAAATATATTTCTAATCTTAAGTAATAAATAATTTTAACTGTTATTTATAACTTCTGCTCATAGCAATTTATGGGGCATATCAAAGAATTAGTCCTCGAGACAAATTAAGACTCCAAATACTAGACAGAGATTATTCATTTATTTTTATTTTTTACTTAGCGTTTTTTTTTCTGTTTTAAAGTTTTTACTTAAATTATTCCCATTGTTAAATACTTGAATTCTGGCTTATTTGAACCATAATAAGATAAATTCAACTTTTCCTGGAGATGCTTTGTTTTAATTGTTAGTTTTGCCAAACGAAATTATATACATTATTAGAAAAACATACAAATGGGTAAAAACTTCAATGAAAGTTAAGAAACCAATAAGCATCAAGTAATGTCGATATTATGTTTCGATAGTATCAATGACGTTGATACTTTTCATTTGATTATTTTTATATGCTTGGAATCGATACTTTATTTTAAATCATATCAGAAACATGGTATAAATAGGTATTGCTCGTATGACTTCGTCAATATGCGTCCGCAAATGCTTAGATAAATGTAAAACAAATCTGCTGTTGTTGTTTCTAATGACACTTGCCGCACTAGCAAGCCTGCTTGGTGAAACCGAGCAAATTTAAGGCAGAGGGTGCGTTTCTTGTTCCTCAGTGGCGCCATCTATGGACAAGAATACGTCTTCAGCCACACATACGTCACAGCCCGTTTATAGGGCGGACCAATTCATACATCCACAGTTCGTAATTTTGACATGAATCAGAGAACAATCGATCTCCAATCCAGTGCCCCGTATTAATTGGTTATGGGAACATGGAGGACTTTGCGACTCGACAGATTTAACGTGCATTAGTCACCATTTACTACACGGGGAGTCTTCGGCTGCCGGGGTTCGAACCCACGAACTCTCGGACACTGGCCCAGTGCCCTACCGACCAGGCTAGCCCGGCCTAAAACAAACTTAAAAACATCGATTAAAATTATTTTTAATTGTGCAATATTTTAGTGACTAAGTAACAACTTAAATTCTTTTCATGGTTAAATATTTGAATTCTGACTTAAACCTACTATAATAAGCTAAATTCAACCCTTTGTTGCAATTGTTTTACTGACTACAGTTATTTAAATTATTACTGAGACATGTGAATGGCACTTACTAAAAATTCAAAGCACCATACGTATCTTGAAAACATAAATCTAAGTTTAGTATTAATACCTCGTTTAGTATTAATAGTATCAATGGTATAAATACTTTTTTTTCGATTATTTTTTAATAAGAATCGGCTTTTTTTTTAATACTATTCCACAAAAAACATCATATCCAAAGGAGTATTTGCATAGGTTGGTATAATTATAGTCGTTTTACAATTTAGTAGAACTATACGACGCATTTAAAGATGTGTAATTTAGATAAGTAAAAAAACAAAGTATTATTTTTATAATTTTGTTTGAATATAATTGTTCATTCAGTTTAGTTTTATTTTATGAAAAAATTTTGTAGACACGCAGTGTATGAAATGTTCAGTGTAGAGCTTATTAAAGCACAGATAACCTAGTAAAGTCTTTTTCTTGCAATCTTTGTGCTGCTTTCGATTTTGATTGGCTGTCACCGATCACGTGATTAAACAATCGCCATTTTGTTGACTGGTTTGAACGGTAAAGTATCATTGCATTCGATCTGTTATTTCTATTTTCGCTTTTCATTTTCCTTTCTTTGTTATATACTCTTAAACTAACAATGGCAGGTATTAGTGCATTTGGGTGTTTTAATAATTCAAAATTAGGCTTTAAATTATATCGCTTACCTGTTAGAGATCGCAATAAAGAATGACGGAAAGTATGGCTGCATAGAATTAGCAGAGATAAACGAATTCCAAACGATTTTTAGTAAGAAAAAATTTTATATTAAGAAAAGCTAAACAAATAATTTCCCTGTTATATTTTAAAGGGCTCCTAATTTTGTTTGCTTTTATCGAATTTTGCTTTTCAGTTTTTAAGATATGTTTATACTGAAAATTTGAATTGCTATGTTTAATTTTATAAAAGAATAATGTGTGTATTTTAACAAACTAATAATATGGCAAGTATTTTTTTTTCTTTTAAGATTTGCATTTAACATTATTACTCATTAATAAAATATAAAACTACTAAAGAATCAAATTTAATGCAATTTGAATATCTTTGTACTAATTCAGTAAAATATTAATTTTTTTAAATTTATATACCTCACAGTTTGGTTTCTTTACTTTATCCAATTGATGAAATTAGCATGCTTTCTTTAAAATATAAAGAATTATTTATTGAAATACAGGGTTATTCATAATTCCCTCTAGGGTTTCGAAGCGTTATAGTAAAAAAAAAAAAGAAAAAAAAAGACGAATATGAAAAAAATTCGAATATGAATTATTCCAAAACTATTCAAGTTTTACTTACATACATAACAGGTGTTCTATGTGTGAACCCTTGGTCACACAGCATACATCAATGCGATAGTCTAGTTCCTGCCCGGAGGGAATTATGAATATTCCTGTATAATATTTACCATAAAATATTATAAATACTCAAGTAATATATCTCAATCATAGTGAATCTGTATAAATTTAATGGCTTTAACTCTTATTTTTGTAAAACCGAGAAGATAATACAATTAAAAATAAGATTATTATGTTTTGAAAGAATGTGAAAATATTATTTTTCTGAAAATATTAATGTTGTTAAAGTGAACTATAAATTCGCCAATGCAAAGTCACCAAGTGCAAATAAATTCAACTGTTTTTTTTTTCTTCTTTTTTGTGACAACTATTTATATTTCTGGGACAACTATTATTTTAGGTGACAACTGTTTAAAAAAAGCCTAAGAAAAAGCATAAAAATAAAGAAATAAAGTATCGGAATTAACTTACGCCGGTGTAATGGAAAAGTACTGTTTTATATTTAATTAATAAACACGTTTTTATTTAATTCAGTGTTTTAAAAATTAAACAGCAATTTTAAAATATTTTTCGATTTCGTTATTTGCATCTGAAATTTTAATTGAGATTTCATTTTAAATTTAACTAATTATGCTTAAAGTGTAAGTAATTCTTTTACTATGAAAGACCAAATAAACAATTGGTACTGTTTAAGAAGAAAAAGATTTGAAATATTGGAGAGAAAAAAAGTTTTTTCTTTGAACACTGTTAATAATTTCCATAATGACTTAAATTCCCAAATAATACCTCCTTTTGAACCTCTTAAAAAAACCAACTAGAAAATTTTTTAAAGTGTTAAGAAATATTTTTTTTGTAGATTGTGTAAGACGAAGAGAGAAAGTTTTAACTTATAGATAAGGTTTTATTTTCTCTGAATAGAATAAAAATAAAACATAATTTCAGAGTGAAAAAACTTAAGAACTCCGTATTTCTTCATTGAGAGTAGCGGTCATCAAGATGGCGGCGTGTCTCTACGTATCCAGGGCTTTAGAGCTTATAACGTGATGAGGGAATTATTTATTAAAACTTTCTCTATTCGAGACTAGAGTTCCTGATATCTAACTTTTAGTATACCCCGTATATATAGTTATATATACCCCGCCGGGGGGGACGGGACGTTGATTGTTTATATTTTATATCATTTTAATTTATTAATTTTAATTTAATTGTATTTAAACATGCCTTCAAAATAAAATACAGTTGCAACAAAAAAATAAATATAAAGTGATTTAACATTTTAACTTACTAGAACGTTAAATCAATGAGCTTGTTTCTTTGCAATGAGACGGTTCCATCTGGGGGTAATCGGAGACAATACATTACAAACATTAAAAAATTTATGTCACTACCTTCGGGGGCCCCTTTTTTATATAAATAACATTTTATTGAAACACAGATATTTTTAATTTGGGATATAAACCTAGGAATTAAAATTCAGTTTTAATGAAATGCCCGGTAACATTTGACCCATAGACCGCGGTGCCGGAGCACTGCTCTAAGCTATTGATAAACATGGTATTCAGTTTTCCTTATCATTTAATATCTTGTAAACATTTCATGCTTCTATCATTGTTTTCCGCATTACTTTACATAGTCTTGTTCCAGGAAACAAAATGTTCCTATGTTTTAATTTTGGTTGCCGCTTATTGGTTCTTGGAGCCAGTATCGATTGCCGTACCTGCACTTATGCCCGTATTTCTCTATCCCTTGCTGGGTATAGTTAGCTCTACAGATATTTGCTTGAATTACATGAAAGTAAGTATTGATTTTTTTCTTCTTCTGATTCTGTCCTGATTTTTTGACGTAACAATATGCGTCAAGATCAGCTAAGTATTTCAAAACATTGCAAGGCATTTAGAGGAAAACTCTCCACAATCAAGTTAACTACTTACAATAACTACGGAGAAAAATCTTATATTGATGGAAGAAGAGACTATAACGATCGAAAATGCGTCTATTCGAAATGCGAAATATTCTTTTCTGTTTTCAAATTTTTGGTTCCATCTACTTTAAAGATACAGCGTTCGGTTTTTTAACGGCTTATCGTCGTTAAAAAAAATAAAAAGAAAGGAACCTTAAAAGTAGCTGGTAGATTTTGACGTAACAAAAAATTATGTTCCAGTTTTATTTATCTTCCTTGGAATTTTTAAGCATTCCCTACTTCGGGAAGTTTCTTGTATTTACAATATTCACACTAAACAAAACGTACTTTAAAATGTCGTTGCATTTCATCAACATGTAAAAAAGAATGTGTCCCATGTTGATTAAATTCCGCATTATTACACTTAACCACGTAAAATCAGTAGCTTTGCTCATAAAAGTGAAGTCTAAGCTATCGTACAGTGGCTATGCGGAACAAGATGAGAATATCTACTGCGCCATCTAGTAGAAAACTAAAGAAGTAGAATTCTTATTTTTTGAACGATACGGTATATGGGGATAATCATAGATCATCATCGAATTCGTATGAATAGATATTTTATGAATAATTCAGAAATGAACACTTGGAATGCGAATTTGTTTGTTCACGATATTTCTTACAGTGGCATGATGAAATAGACTTAAGAAAAAACAGATCAGAGCATTGAAATAAAATTTTTTTTTTCTCCCTCTTAAATAGTGTTTTCATATCTCAGCATTTAGAAAGACGAACTAAGGGCGTTTTATGCTTTCTTTTTTTTTAAAAATTTAATATTAACAACTGTCTGTTTCTTCTAAATCAGTGATTCTCAACCTTTTTTTTGTCGCGGCACACTTTTAACGATTTCAAACTTTGGCGGCACACAAAGAAAAAGATAAATTCAAAAGTTGCTTACTTGCCTTTAATACACTGTGTGAAATAGTTTATGATAATAATTTGGAATGTAAAATAAAATAATATAATATGTACTACAAAAACAATTACAAAATGCTTATTAAGGGATTAATTACAAATGAATAATACTTTTAATGAGAAATTTGAGCTTGATGTTTTTTGATAATTTCATTTATATTTGGTCGTAAAAATGACAATCTCATATCGTCCTCTACATTTAACAGTCTCGATCTTTTTTTCGTTTTTATGTTGGTTAATACTGAAAATCCGAATTCACACAAATAAGATGCAGAAAATTGTAATAATATTTTTAAAGATTTTTTGGCTATCATGGGATAATCTCATCCAATGTTAATCCAAAATGAATTAATTAATTCTTCCGAATATTTTAAAATTATATCTCGATTGTTGGAAAGCGAAATTAGTTCTCTTCTCCATTCAAAGTTAATTCACAAATGGATTACGAACCCAATCAAAATTTTTTATACCTAAATTTGGGAAATAATGAATAATTCTCTACTCTAATGTTATAGTTCTATAAATAGTTCTATGCTGAAACAAGTGCTTCTAGATGCAAAAAATAATGTGTAACTAATATATCCCCATTCAGTTCTTTAACATGTGTTACAAATCCTTTAAGATGTCTAGTCTAAATAAATTTCACATTTCTAAAATTTGGCGGCCCACTTTAAGAATTTGGCGGCACACAAAAGTGCCGCGGCACAGTGGTTGAGAATCACTGTTCTAAATCGATGCTGTTCTCACCTTTTTTTCTTCATACTGTTTTGAATATAATACTAAGGTTTCTATTTTTCACCTGGTGACACTGCAGATGCTTTTACCAAATTACATACAGCCACTTTACTATTATACACAGTTTTTTCAACAATAGCTACAGTTGTTCGTCAATAGAAAGGATGGGTACAGACTTGGGTCGGCATACTGACGAATTTCGAAACAGTTAAAATCAGTTAGGGGTTCGAAAGTCAGCATTTCTAATTATAAAATTTCTACCAAACGTAAATGTTATTCTAAGTATGATTCGTCTTTGCAAAATTTCCTTTTTTTTTTCCTTTTAAGGAAACTGTGATGTTACTGTTGGGAGGTTTTATTATGGCCGCCGCTGTGGAAGAATGCAAGTTACATGAGAGAATAGCCCTAAAGATTTTACTCACAATCGGAACTGAAATAAAGTGGTGAGTTAAAATTGAAACATTTTTCTTAAGTTTGTGCTATTTTTGAAAGGAATAAAAACGAACGGTTGCATTTTATGGACAACATTATCTTGAATTAAGGAAAAATTTTGTAGGAAATTATCCGAAATCAAAAATAAGATTTTTTCGAGAATGATAAACAGAAACCTATCAAGGGTGTTATGTAATAATCGTCCTTAATGTAATTTTTGGAATCTGTCAAAAAAGTATACACGTAGTATTTTTCAATGACTAAAAACAAACAAAAACGCTTTTAAATTCCGGTACATCAATATCAAAATGGGGAAAATAAAAAAAATAGTGTTGTTGTTGTTGCACGCCCCTATTGGCCAGCAGTGCTAGACCAGGTCCATGATGTTATACACCCTCAGAAAATCCAACACCGTCAATGAATCATCTGCTAAATCCTGTTTGGTGAGCCCCAGGCACGCGAGGATGGAGGCGAAGCCTGGTCAGAAGAACAGTTGGTACAAATTCTAAGTTCTTGGATCCTTCCGAAAATTTCATCGATTTAAGGTGACCAATTCGAAAGCGGGCAAGAATAGTTTGTTCCTGTCTATTAAAACCTTAGGCAAGGGAACCTCCAGGTCGAGAACAATGATACCATGGGTGCTTTGGGGGGGGGGACATGCCAAGTGGTCTTGTTTTTGTGTTTTGCTTTTGAAAAGATTTCCAAAAAGGCGAGGGATGCCGACGGCACAGAGCCCTAAAAAAATAGTTTTATTGGCAGATGAAACTTGATGTTTCTGTCACTATCGTTCCGTTAATTTTTTCTTCTTCATTTAACTGTTCATTATTCCTTGTACAGGGACTAGTCTGTTATAGCATCATCTGAAAATCATCCTAAAAACTTTTTATTTTTTAAAAATTTGAAAATCTAAAGCTTTACCCTGGATTCAATTGATGCAATATATATCGATTACCTAAATTGATATGAGTAATGAATAAATCTTTTTTCGTTTTTGTTTTAGGTTAATGTTAGGATTCATGATTTCAACGATGTTCGTCTCGATGTGGATAAGCATAACGGCCACGTGTGCTTTGATGTCTCCGATTGCTGAAGCTGTGTTAAAAAGGATAAACACACCAATTAAACGAAATAAACTACTCAGCCGGGAACTTACAAAGAGTAAAATTATATTTATTTCATTTTGTGTGTAACTTAGAAGATATTCTATTTATTTAAGAAAATTTCAGTCTGAACAGTTCAGTTTCCTTCGTTGACATTTGAACAATAAAATTAAAAAGCAGTTAAGTATTAATAATGAATAATTCTATATAATCATTACTTTATGATTTTTTTGTGTTCTTATTTGCTTATATTTACTTGTAAGCGATACATAAAAGCATAAATTTGGAGTTTAGCATAAATAAAATGGAATAATCGAGATTAATATGATTTATTTAAGAAAAACAAGAACATTCAAGGGGCTTATTTATACAATAAACAATTGTAATTCCAAGAAGTGACGAATTTAACTGTGGATTGTATAAAGTCCATCTTTAACAAATTCTTACTATTCTACAAAATGAGTCATAATAAACCACTATATTTTAAAATTTGTGGCATTAAAATTCCAGTATTGATCTTCTTCCATTGAAATAATAAGGAGAAAAGAAAGGTAGAAAATATTCTCCAACGATTCACCCTTCTCCGTTATGAGGACAAAAATTATTGTGATGTGTGCGATCTATTATATTTCACCTTTAGGTTAAGCCTATAGAGGAATTTAGCGATAAGGCGAATCCCGTGAACGCTATTTTAGCTCACTAGCGGTTTCCGATAGATTTCGTGTACCACCATCTACTGGCAACTATATTATCATATTGAAATCAACAGTGATCAAATCGAATTGCGAATAAAATGACATTGAATTAAAATTTGTAAAAACTCTGTAATAGTTTTAGTGTTTAATGCATTATAATGTAGTTAGTTATTTTTATTTTACTCCAGAGTAACAGTTATGTGAACCAATCTATAAATAATTTTATAATACGAAACATTAAGGTTCTATTAATAAATATATAAAGTAACAAAGATTTTCAAAAAGGAGGAAAATTTCGCACAACTTTTTGCAACGAGAAACTGCAGTTTAAACTTGTATTTTCGTGCTACGACGTATGTTTTCAGAGTGTAGTTTTTGCTTATGTCCGTATGAACAACAATTTATTATTGATTACTCTTATGAGCAATTTATTTTTATTATTTAAATCGATTTTTATTTTACATGACTTAGAAGGATCAGACACATCTTTAACTGAAAGTGTAATAGACGACCACGAAAATGTAGACTTGTAAGTATTCTAAATGAAGTCTTATTTTTTTCCACTAAATACTGATATGCATGTTCTTTCTTAAGAATTAATAAAGTACTGCATTATTTAATGTTACTCTGCTACTTTCAACCAATGTTACAACTATTAAATGATTAATGATATGTTACTACAGTATTTGACTTGAGTTACTAATAAATTGAGTGTTATGTTTGCATAAAGAAAATAACAAACACAAAAATAATGAGTTTGGTAACAATAAAATGAAGTAGAAATATCAAGTTTTAAGTTTAAAAACTGAAACTAAAAGGTATAAAACACTACTTTGACCTACTCTGTTTTATGGGAGTGACCATGACCAAGATACATGAAATTTATTGACCTTTGAAGGGGAAATCTTAGTAAAAATATTTGGTGCAGTTCATGAGAATAATAGCTAGAGATCCTTATTTTACTTCGAAATTTACCAAATGTACAGTAACCTGAAATTGTTAAATAAAGTCATGAAATACAATAGACTAGAATATTTAGGACAAGACCCCTGATCTTTTACTAGACCCCTGAGAAACAGAAAACTAGGAAGACCACTCGGTTGACTTCCAAGATATTAGGATACTACTGACTCGGTGGAGGACATTCATACAATAAATTAGAGAAACTTGAAGACCCTTGCTGCAAATAGGAACAAATGGAAAAGACTACTTGTGACGGATTTGGCCTGAAACAGGCCGTAGTGCTCTGATAGAAGAACAATGAAATAAACAATAAAAATAAGAGAATGCAGTTACTTAAAGAAAAACGTGTTTTAAACCCCTTTTTGATTCAATTATGATTTTACATAATCATATTACATTGTTTACACCATTCTATAAAAATATACTCATTCTATACATAATTCTTTGTTTTTTTTCCTTCCAGCAAACATCTTGAAAGCCACACCATCAGAGTCACTCTTTTCCTAGGTATTTGTTATGCAGCTAATTTAGGTGGTACCGGTACAATTATAGGGACAGCCACAAATATGGTGTTTAAAGGAATGCTTGAAGAGTATGATATAATATCTTATATCTTTACATATAAGTATTTTTCAAAATTAGATTGCTCTTACTATGTTTCTCTTAAGTATAAGAATTTTTACAAAGTTTTTACATACACACATTGAACATTAGTATTCGGCGAAGATTCAAAAAGCAATTCAATCTTTCCTGGCTAACACGTCACTTTAGCTGTGAAAACATAAGAATCAGTTTTAGAAGTTAAGTGACTTTTCTTCTGCGTCACTGCATGTATTTAGCGAACCTCCTGGTTAGTTAGTCCATCAATTTGACGTCTGACACAAGACATAATCTTAACTTTATCTAAAAATGGCAGAAATAAACTTAACAGAGGGCACCGCGTATTTGTCTCTACATAATTCACTTGATGGCAGCTCTTCTCACGTTATCTAATTTTTTTTTCTTTTTGAATACATAACTGAAGACTCCAACCAACTGTCAAAATTGATATCTGCCGATTTTATAAAGCTGGAGTCCAATAATTTTTAAGACTGTGAAAATTCTATCTTCTCAGAATTCTATAAAACATTTAAACAAATACAGTAAAAACTAAAGAAGAATCCTTTTCAAACATTTTCTTTTTGTTTGCAAATCTCTGGGGTTCGCATCCCGGGCAAGGCATAGATGTTCTTTATTTCTATGTACTATCTGTCATTACTGTGGGAACAACGTTGACCCACGTAATATGGTGCCCTGAAAGAGTGGTCAACAAATCTGCCTGTATGACGAAAGGTCATTCTGCAGGTGGGCATTGGAAAAAAAGTGTTTGCAAATTTATGTTCCTTAATTGTTTTAACTGCCTAATACGTAGAGAGATTGAATCAAATAATGTACTTATCTTATAATTGGTTTTCAAGAGAAATGATTAGTTATATTGTTTTCTCTTTTCTCTAGACTTTATCCTGAATGTGAAGAAATTACTTTCCAAACTTGGATGTTTTACAATATTCCAGGAATGATTATATGCGTTCTTATGGGTTGGATATATCTATGGATGATTTATATACGATGTTTGTAAGTAAGGAAATTATGTATTTAACATCTCTAAAATTCTCATAGTATTATTAACAATTAAGGTAATCCTAAACTCTGTTATTAAATAATTTTTCCAGATAAGGATTCTCAAACTCAACTTAAGATGTCTTTTTTTATATTTTTTTTTCTGTGGACAAACCAGTGGCGTAATTTTTATGTTCGAAGAGTTTGCAATCATAAACTCACAAATTACACTTTTTCTCAATGCTATATTTTTTTTAATATTAAACTGTTATTTAGTATTGTCTCCAGAATGGTATTTTGGAAGTTTAGGAAATAAAATTCATAGAAGCATGTTAATGCCTTTATGGAAATTAAGGAGATTATCGCCAAATAAAGATTTTTCAAAGTGATTTTTAAAAATTCATTATGTTACTTACATTTATAATTTTTCAGAAATAATAAATAAAACAATTTTACTAAAAGCATAATAACCTTAACAATGCAAATTTAATATCTTTTAAATTACCTTTTTTCTAAAGTGACTTAAGAAATTTTCAAAATTTACTTATGCCGAATTTTCAAAACTAATTGGAATTTCCATTTTAAAGATTTTAAAAGGGACAAAAAACAGTATCGGTCTTAACTCGATACATTCTCTCAATACATTTTAATTCTTTTAATTTAAAAAAAATAACGTTCTACATTTCTTTTATTTTCTACGAATTGTTTAAAATTTACTTGAAAACTGTGAAAGATGTCGAATCACAAGCTGAAAAACGGGAGGAAAGATATCAAAACTAGTTTGATTGTCTGGTAAAATTTGATGGTGTTTCTAATAATCACCTTTTAACTCTTTTCTATCTCGTTTATAAATCAATCAGGTTTAATTGTTTTCAGTCTTGCCTTCCTCGATAGTGATTTGTTCATACATCAATATCTATGTTTCAATGTTTTTGTTTCTCCTTTAACATATTGTTAAATTACGACTATTCTATATATTTTCTTAATTTAATATTTGACAGGAATTCTAACACTACTTATTTACAGTGGAGTGTATAAGTAAATATTTATTATTGTTGTTTCAATAGGAAACATAAACCCTCTAAGGAAGATTTGCACGAGATCATATCAAGAAAGTATGCAGAACTGGGAGCTGTTACGTAAGTAGTAATAAATAAAGAAGTAAATTCAACAGGCTTAAAGATTTGCAGATAAGACTGATAAAGGACTTCTGTATTAAAATTATGCTTACAGGAAAGCACGAAAAATAGTAAATGAAGTAAATTAATAACATTTATGTCTGAAAATGCGAGAAAGGTGATTTTGTCTCTGAAAGACGTATTTGGTTTCATTTAAATGACTTTGTTGCTGTCGTGGGCCATTAAAGCATAGGGGGTGTGATTTTTTTTGGTTTTCTAGTGGCGCTATTTGTGACCAAGAAATTGATTTCTGCTACACCCATACGTCCACCCGTTCATATGGCAGACCCATTCATACATCCATTCATTTATCCACTTTTGTCCTGAATCAGAGAACGATCAGTTGCCAATCCACTACCCCAAGAGGTATAATTTGTTATGAGAACAAGGAGGACTTTGTGATCCGACAGATTTAGTTTACACCAGTCACCATGTACTACACGGGGAGTCTTCGGCCGGCTGGATTCGAACTCACGAACGCGATCATTTAAATAATGAAAAGCAAATTTCATCTGTCAAGAAATCGTTGAGACATACAATTACATAATTGCATCGAGTGCAAATAAAAAAAAAATGCAATTAAAATAATGATGAAATAATACACTTATTGTTTAAAGTCTTTTGTATTCATTTTTGTTATTTATACTATTCAAATTTATTAATGAATATTATACCTTCTTTCGCTTTCCATGGTGGAAACCTAAATTCGAATCCCAGAAATGCTTGGTCGTAAATTATCTCCAGTGGTAGACAGATCTTGGTTTAGAATCGTTTTACCGTCGAGTTAACTGTGGGGGGGGGNTTTCCTTTCCATGTAACGCAAATACGGGTTAGTTCCCTCAACAAAAAAAAAAAAAACCATACTAAAGGTGGTTTGTTTCAATGCTAGATCAAAGAGTTCTCCTATCTTCTTTTATAACCGTCGTTGAACAGCCGACCCAATCTTATGGGTTTACGACCAATGTTTAACTCCGTAGCCTTGTAATTTAAAACCCAATCCAGAAGTCAAAGGAGCTCCTGTATCAAGTATTGGGAGAAATGTGCCTTCGTGGAGGACTTTTTGATGGAACTAACCGGCATTTGCTTTACATCGAGAGGGAAACCACGAAAACCTCCCATGATTCGCCGGACGACAAGGAGTCTCTAACCCATGATCCATCTACAACTGAGGATATTTTACATCAGCACAGTGGTCGGTGAGAGCCAGGTACGGAATTCGAACCCGGTTTACCTCATTGGAAGGAGTACGCTCTATCTCCTGAGCCAAAACGTCTCTCTCTCTTATCTTCTCGGTTGGGTTCAAAATTAAAAAGCTGAGTAAGTGAACACTGATTTGAGGAACCGCTTGCAAGACGCTCAGTTGTGTGCTCAAATTCTTCCATATCCTAGATGCATCATTATGCTGTCTTTCTCTGAATTGTGCTATCTGTTCTTTTATTTGAAAAAGGCTTATAAGCTGTACTTTTGCAATTGTGCGTATGTGTCTGTGTAGCAATAAATTTGCACAGTATTATCCTATTTTTGGTGGAAGATTTTGAGGGTCTACTAAGGATTGGCTTAGTAGCGTTGTATTTGTTTTTCCAGTATATTTTGTGAAAGTTCCGTAGCGAGCTCACTAAATATGCTTCTTGATAAACATACAAGGAAATATTTACTAAGGAAGTATACATGTTTTTTTACTAAATTCAATCTTGTAATAATACTTAGAAACTGTAGGGACTACTAGAAAACTCATGGAATCACAGTTCCTTGATAGCTGCAGTGCTTTTTACAGCTTAAGAACTAACTTGTATAAGGACTAAAGAAAAATCTTTTAACCGTTATTCATTTAAGAAAAGAAGAGGGAAAAAAATAAATGTGCCCAACTTTATTTCAGGTACCACGAAGCTGAGGTTGTGATCTTATTCTCCGTTTTAATTTTACTATGGCTGTTCCGAGAGTCAAACTTACTGACAGGATGGATACATCTGATTGGATCTGATAAGTAAGCATATCATTACATACAGTTAAAAATAATAATACAATAAGTATAAAAAAATTTGTGCTGACAGGCTCGGTACATCTGATTGGATCTGATAAGTAAGCATATCATTACATACAGTTAAAAATAATAAAACAATAAGTATAAAAAATTTGTGCTGACAGGCTCGGTACATCTGATTGGATCCGATAAGTAAGCATATCATTACATACAGTTAAAAATAATAAAACAATAAGTATAAAAAATTTTTGCTGACAGGCTCGGTACATCTGATTGGATATGATAAGTAAGCATATCATTACATACAGTTAAAAATAATAATACAATAAGTATAAAAAATTTGTGCTGCTGACAGGCTCGGTACATCTGATTGGATTCGATAAGTAAGCATATCATAGCATATAGTTAAAAACAGTAATATGAATGTAAAAAATTTGTCTTGACAGGCTGGATACATCTGATTGGATCTGATAAGTAAGCATGTCATAGCATATAGTTAAAAACAGTAATATGAATGTAAAAAATTTGCCTTGACAGGCTGGATACATCTGATTGGATCCGATAAGTAAGCATATCATAGCATATAGTTAAAAACAGTAATACTCTGAATATAAAAAATTTGTCCTGACCGGCTGGATACATCTTACTGGATCTGATAAGTAAGCATATCATAGCATATAGTTAAAAACAGTAATGCTATGAATATAAAAAATTTGTATAGGTCAAATAGCTGATTTATTTATTTAAGGGTGGTTATTAATTAGTTGAAACTTATTTTCTTTTTTTAGAACAATTGGAGATGCCGTACCAGCTATTGCCATTTCCTTCCTGGCTTTTATTCTACCATCCGATATTAGAGATTTGAATAGTCGACCCATATTAGAATGGAAAAAGATTCAACCCAAGTTACCTTGGAACGTTCTTCTGATTGTTGGAGGTGGATTCGCGTTGGGTGACGGTGCGCAGGTAAAGTTAACAGTAAACTAGACAAATCAGTTAAAGTACAAAAATTATCGAATTCTACTATTTACCTAGGCATTTTATGGAATAACGATTAATTGATAGTTGAAATTTGAAATGCGGCACTCGAAAGTTCTTTGAATCGGTTATAGCTGCTTTTAGACAGTATTGAACCGCTTATAGCTGCTTTGCAATGACGCGTGTCTGTACACTTTATTCCCGTGTTTTTAAACATAGTTATTAATATGAGCAATAGTAAACTTTATCATCTGTTTTTCCTCATTATTTATCAATTAATCATCCGCAATTGGGATAAAATGTATTTTTCGAGAAATTTTAGATATTTGTGATCAATTAATTTATAAAACAACGTTGAAATTGTTTTTTTTTTCACTTTAACGTCTATAATTAGTTATTTCATAGAATAACTAGGTAAAATATAAAATTTTTCAGCTGTTAAATACTTTAACTGACTTATCTAGCTTTTTCGTAAAAAATACCTAGTTATTCTATGAAGTAACTGCATTTCACACTTTGACGGCAACACTATAGTATATTAAAAAAAGATAACCCACCTCGAATATACATTAAAACTATGCTACTGCATGGAACTCTGCATTTGTCCACTTTATCTTGTTTTAACATTGCAACATTACTGAGGGCAAGCAATTCATCGTTGAATAGTAAAGAAGCAATGAATGTGTCACCCCTTTTCAAAAATTTGCAATAAATTATTCACAAGAAAAAAAAACTGAAAATTTCGTCATGTAAAACTAAAGCAGTTATAGTTAAAACAACCGATGAGAAATTTAACAATGATGACAAATTTAACGATGAGAACTTCAACAACTAAGAATATACCAAGCAAAAAATTAACAAGAAAAATTTTAACGACAAAATAGAAATATAATCGGTAATAAAAAGCGTCTTGGGAGAAGAAAAATTTCAATCAGCGTGAGTTCTCTGGCCGATTGCATCGGCTCTTCATACAAGAACTGCTTTGCGCACGGCTATGAAGAGTCTCTCTTGATTGGTTAAAAATTATGCCGCGGTGTAATCGACATGCCAGGTTCAAGTACCAAAGTTTGAAACCTGTTGAACCTGTAACCATCTCTATCTTCAATGCATTCTCTGTAATCGTCTTCCTGAAGAATAATAAACAGAACTGAATTTCAAGTGGATGAAATGTATATATGCCATTGTAAAATGTTGCTCTTTCTTTCTGCACATAGCTGTACACTTTTCCTTTGTTTCACGTCTTTGATTATAATCCTGGATGCTTTTAATTTAGTTGTTAAAATGTTATTAAAGTAATGTCTAAATTTCGCATTTCTTCTTTATTATCTTTGACGATTGATCCATTTAAAATGCAGAATTTAATAAACGCAACACTATCTCGCCAAAATTTCACTGTAAAACAAATGTTCGAATTGACTTCTAATATCATTTCTGTTTTCTGATTCTCGCCTCCGCGGAACATTCTACAAAACAAGATCCAACTAAACAAGGCTAACACATGATAAGACCACGCTCTCTTTCTCAATATAGATAAAATATCTGAGAAAGATAAACGCAAGAGAAAACTGATATCAAGTGGTCCAAGATACATCCTGATTAATCTCGTAACACACGATAAAGATACAGAGTGAAAAAAAATCGCTAATTAGAAGCACGAGGTAATTTAGGCTGAAGCTTCTGTTTCCGTGAAAAGACGAAATCATTTACCTTTTTCCGCTTTGATATGTAATGCTACTCAGTTATTGTGGTGACAATTCATCAAAAGCTGCCTTGTTTTTCACAGCTAAATGATTATAAATCTTCGTAGCTGAGATTGATAAGACCCAAATCTCTTTCAACATTATTTTTCCATTGTCTGTTCCCATCACACTACACAATCCTTAAACTTAATTCGAAAGTAATAAAATCATTAATCTGAAATGCGAGCAAAAATCTGGATTTTTTTTAATCCCAAATAAAACTAAATTTTCATTCGTTATTTTTAATATCAGAAACAAAAATCGATCCTAAAAACAGGATGACAGTTTTAGAATTTACATCCTGCATTGTTAACATGAAGCACAACACAATAGTTTAATTCAGCACTTTATGCATTTTATTTTCAGAAATCTGGTTTGTCGAAGCTGATTGGTGAATACCTTGGAAGGATGCGAATGTTTCCTCCATCAGTTGTTGTGGCAATTATGGTATTCATAGCATCATTGGTTACAGAAATCATGACCAACGTTGTCACTGCCACCGTTTTACTACCTTCTTTCAGCCAAATGGTAATCATTCTTAATACTTGGAGTTTCTTTTAAACCTCCACTTGATTATGATTCATTTTTAAAAATTAGAATAAAAGTATATTTCTTGGAGCAAAATTTATAAATCTAAAGTGAAAATTTCTCTATATTAAAGAATTGCAAGAGCTACCATAGCTAGCAATACCGCTGTTTTGCTTGTTTACTTACACTACATTTTGTTGTGCCAAAATTATGAAACTTACAAAATTGAAATTGCGCACAAGTTGATAGACAAATGTACGGAGCATGGAGCATATGATGGAATAAACGAATTTAACATTTGTTAATTGTTTAGAGAAATATTAACTGTTGAACTTTAAGGAAAAAAAATGTATGCAAGCCTTAAGAAAGCAAATACAGAGTTGAAATTAAACGCGATGAAAGGTCATTTTCATTTATAAACAGAAAAATGAGTTCAAGTATTATTAAAATTTTAAGTGCCTTCGATGAGTACGATGGAATAAGAAAAAAATTTATTATTAGTTCAAGAATTTTGAACAATTGAACTGATCGCAAAAAATACAGCGCGGACCGCTCTGCAGCCCACAGAAATGAATCTACATCGTCGAAATTTGACGCTCTGATCTGACACGGATATTTTTATTTGTGACCTGACTGCGAGATTTTTTTTTCAATTCAAAAGTTATAATAACATTAAGTGCTTTCTTTCGAGAAATTTTACTCACTTTTTTGCTTTAAATAAAGACTAGTTCTCCATTGTTGAATGAAAATGTATTTTCTCTCTGGAGATTTTTATAAGCTTACGCTTGGATGGATGAAAACACTAGCAAAAAAGAAAATAAATGACATAGAGATTCGATACAAATTTTAACATTCTAGATAAAATTTTTAAAAAACATGAAAAAGTTTATACAAGAGATATAAAAATTGGGAGATGTTTTTTTAACAATGAGTCTTTTTAATGAGAAATTTTTAATTTATTTTAATTTGTTTCTTAATGCGCCACAAATTCTGCAATCCAAATTTGAAAGCCTTCTTTCAAGTACAGTCGATTCAGCTGTAATCGTCCGTTTCATTACGATTTTCAATCTTATTACGCCACAAATTCTGTAATCCATATTTGAAAGCCTTTTTTCAAGTAGAATTGATTCAGGTGTAATCGTCCGTTTCAATACGATTTTTAATCTTATTACGCCACAAATTCTGTAATCCATATTTGAAAGCTTTTTTTCAAGTAGAATTGATTCAAGTGTAATCGTCCGTTTCATTACGATTTTTAATCTTATTACGCCACAAATTCTGTAATCCATATTTAAAAGCCTTTTTTCAAGTAGAATTGATTCAGGTGTAATCGTCCGTTTCATTACGATTTTTAATCTTATTACGCCACAAATTCTGTAATCCATATTTNTTAAACTTAATTAGAAAAAATACAATCATTAATCTGAAATGCAAGCAAAAATCTGGATTTTTTTAAACCCAATTAAAACTAAATTTTCATTCATTATTTTAAATATCAGAAACAGAAATTGATCTTAAAAACAGGATGATAGTTTTAGAATTTACATCCTGCATTGTTAACATGAAGCACAGCACAATAGTTGAATTCAGCACTTTATGCATTTTATTTTCAGAAATCTGCAAAAATTGATCGTAAAAACAGGATGATAGTTTTAGAATTTACATCCTGCATTGTTAACATGAGGGACAACAAAATAGTTGAATTCAGCACTTTATGCATTTTATTTTCAGAAATCTGGCTTGTCGAAGCTGATTGGTGAATACCTTGGAAGGATGCGAATGTTTCCTCCATCAGTTGTTGTGGCAATTATGGTATTCATAGCATCATTGGTTACAGAGATCATGACCAACGTTGTTACGGCAACCGTTTTACTACCTTCTTTCAGTCAAATGGTAATCATTCTCAATACTTAGAGGTTTTTTTCTAAACCTCCACTTGAATATGATTCATTTTTAAAAATTAGAATAAAAGTACATAATTCATAGAACAAAATTTGGGAATCTAAAGTGAAAATTTCTCTACATTAAAGAAATGCAAGAGCTACCATAGCTAGCACTATCACTATTTTTGTTTGCTTACATTACATTTTGTTGTGCAAAAATTATGAAACTTAGAAAATTGAAATTACGCGCAAGTTGATAGACGAATGTACGGAGATCGGAGCATATGATGGAATAAAAGAATTTAACATTTGTTAATTATTTAGAGAATTATTAACTGTTAAACTTTAAGTAAAAATATGTATGCAAGCTTTAAGAAAGCAAATACAGAGTTGAAATTAAGCGCGCCGAAAGTTCATTTTTATTTATAAACAGAAAAACGAGTTCAAATATTATTAAAATTTTAACTGCTTTCGATGAGTACGATGGAATAAAAAAAAAATTAAAATTTTATTTTTAGTTCAAAAATTTCGAACAATTGAACTTATAGCGAAAAACATTACAAACATTATTTACCTGTAATATTTATTTATCATCATTTATTAGTATTATTCTGTGTTATTATTAGTTTTGTGATTTTGATTCTTACTCCAAATTAAAAGCCTTAAGTCCAAAAGCTGCTCTCTTCTATTATAAAGAAATCCCATACTATTAAGTTACTATGCAACATTTTATGTACATTAGAAAATTGAATATATTTACAATTAGTTTCAAATATTTAGTGAAATTTCCTACCATTGATAGCCGAGAAAATTTATTTGGGTTAAATTTCTTCCAAATTGAATCTGGAACTCAAATCTGTCAAACCAAATCTGTCTTGACTGATTCAAATATTTTAGGATCTTTTAATTGAATACTTTTCATTTTTAACGTAAAACCTTACTTAGTGCATTGAAACAAAAATTGATTACTTGTCACTCATNTTGGGGGGGGGGGGGTATCCATCCTGACGAGCAGAGGGAAAAATTTAAGTAAGTAAATATTTATCATATTTCTAGAGTAACAGAACCTTTTATAATTCATAGATATTGGCCCTATCTTATATTCTTTATTATTCTTATATTCCCCGTTCATTATGTTTTTAATTCAGCCACAACAAACTATAATTTTTTTTATATTCCAGTTTGATGAATTACTCAGAACGGGAAATTAAAATTGAAAATATAAATAAATGGAAATAAAATATAGGGGAGATTCTACAAAAATCTAAGACGCCAGTCTTGTTTATAGAGATCGGATCGGCTTAAGATAGAAAATTGCCATTTCTTTAAACTTTTAAAGCATAATTTGTACCACATATTTCCAAGCATACAAATAAGATTACTTACGTACAATTTCCTCCAAAAAAAAAAATAAAATTTCCTAAAATTCACTTCTCTGGCCTATCCAAAAAATTTTCTTCAACTTATTTAAGATTTTTATCCCCAACGTCTCCATAAAGTATATTAATAAACTATGAGTACTTAAAGGTGCAAAAAAAATTTTTTTGAAACAGTTTAATATTTTAACTCACCAAGTTAGTTAACCATTTAAAAGTTTATCACAAGATTTTTCTACTGTTCTCCCGGTGCAAGAAATTTTTCTATAATTTTTAGGATAAGAGAGCATATTTTTAGCCTTGTATATTACAATCCTGTTTACTCACATAATTCTTTCGGATTGATAAATTTCTTTGGAGATAAGACTTACCTGACGTTCTTATTATTGATTTGAAGTTCTAAACTGAGGCATGTAAAAAAAATTTTTTTTCTTCACATTTCTGTACATTTCTATTATACGTGAAAACATTTTTAAAAAAAATAATGCATGTTATGTGTAATAATGGGATGATTCAAGTAAAAGAACTTTCTTAAGCCTAAATCTGTCATTATTAGAACTCAGAATCAATAAGAATGTCAAACACCTGGCATTTAAGGCAAATGATTAACTAATTAACCAACATCATTAAAGTGAATTGCCTTTTATTTTTGTCTTGTTTAGAGCCTTATAAAGAGGTAGCATGATTTTTTTTCCAGATTTTTTAAAACACCTGCAGTTTTTAAGAATTTGGAATTTTGAAAATGTCAAGCTTTTTGGAGAATAACTATAGATCGAGCAAATCTATCACAAGCCACATTATTTTCTACTTTTAAAATACCTTTCTCATATATTGCTTGCCAGTAATTTGTAGCATTTTAAATTTCTCATATACTTTTTGATTGATGATGCATCAATATAAATTTGTATTGATTTATCGTTTTCTTTATACATACCTTAGGCAGTAGGTATGGGAGTGAATCCCCTGCTTGTCATGTTGCCGATTACAGTGGCTTGTTCTTATGCCTTCATGTTACCAGTCGGTGGTCCTGGGAATGCAATATCTTTCGAAAATGGTCATATGAAGACGCAGGATATGGTAACATGAACTTTCTCTTACATCATTTTATATATTGGGTGTACAAATTAGTTCGGTCCGTTTTTTTGTGATCAAAAATGCATTTATTTCAGAACAAAATGAACAGATTAATCAAAAAAATTTCTCGTCTTTTGAGGCGATCCAAGTTAGGAGCCAATTTTCGATTTCTGCAAAAGTGAACTGGTGACCTGCCAAATCATGCTACATCCGTCGGAACAACCAGTAATCAGAAGGAGCAATGTTCAATGAATACAGCGGGTGCGGTAAAATATCTCACTTGAGCGTTTCCAAATAATTTTTTATGACTTTTGCGACATCAGGCTGACCGTTATTAGGCAGAAAAATAACTTTGTCTTGTCTTTACTCGTATTCCGGCCGTTTTTCTCGTAATGCAAGGCTCAAACGAATCTATTGTTGCCTATACCGATCTCCCGCAATGGAATCACCAGGTTGCAGCAGCTCATAGTATTCAAAACTGTTCACCATTTTTCATTCACCATTCTTGAAGTGTCGAAACCGTTCCCAACATGATTTATCAGTTGGAGCATTATCACCATAAATTTCTACAAAAATTCGATGCGCTTCAGCTGCACTTTTCCTCCAATTAAAGCAGAAACATAAAACCTCCCACAAATGGTGCTTCGTTACCACAAAACTTGACATATTCAACAAAGTAAAAAACAGGTTTTTTGTATGAAACTCAAAGCAATATAAACTGAATATTATTCACAGATGTTTAACCTCTCTGAAACCACCGAAACCAGCTGTCACTATGAAACATTCATAACAGCAGAGCCATCTCTTGAAAACGAACCGAACTAATTTGAAATAATTGTAAAATACTTCCACCCTCACTTTTAAACACCTCAGAGGAGTCTTTTTAAATAACTATCGATTAAAAGTAATAAAAATGTATTAATTTACCTTTTTTTTAAATATACATTTCGGTCAATAGGTTTAACATAATCAATTAATAGTTAATTCTAAAATTTATTTTACAATAATAAAATAATATAAGGTTTTACCTATTTTACAACGTCTTTGTTAACCGCTTCCGTGGAACCAAAATGTAGTAAATATCTTTACAAGCTTGAGTTCTCAGTTTTTAAACGGAGCTCCGAGCCCGATGGCAATAAATATTAGGTACAACTGATATGAGTTTAACATTAATAAGTAAATAATAAAATATTTCATTATTAGAGATGGAGCTACTTCCGATTAATCATGCTGCTATGAAAGGAAACATCCATTTTTAACCTAGGTGTACAATTTTTTAAGTAACTCTTACTGAATATTAATAAATTAAAGACTATTGAAATAAAAATTCAGACTCCACAAGAAAATTGAGTGTTGAAGGTACTCTTTTATGAACATTTTATGCAAGTTAAACATAAACTCATCCAAATAACGTTTTTGTTTTTTCTCTTTTCTTGTTATTGTTTCGTTTTTCCCTGGGCACAATCGGCTTGCTTTATCAATTTCTAGAAATTTAAGTACATTTAATCTCGATTTATCTGTTAAATCTTTTTCTGATACAGATTTAAAAGTTTCTTGCTCTTTTTTTTTTTTGCTTCAAGGGTCTTCTTTTATTTTCTGTCTAGCTTGTCTCATACTAAGTTTTTTCTGTTCCCTTCTCTTTTGCATTTGAACATTTGATTGCTTTCTTTTTTTACATTTTGGTTTTGCCATTTTTCTCCCAAAATTTGAAGAGAAAAAAGTGTTAAACATCACAGAAATTATGTAGAAAAATTGCCAATATTTACTTCTCCGATAAGAAAAAGTTAAACTTAATTGATTTTCTTTAACACTAGATTGCCTAAGGAAGTCATTTTGACTGCTTTTCAATTTCAATTTGAAAAACAATTATGTTTATAATGACACAGCTTCATAGAATTTTATGACTTTTTGTACAACATATAGAAGCGTTTATTAATTATTGTAACTGCCACCCCCTCCGTCATTTCCGGTAAAAAAATGTGTATTATACCTATATTGCCTAAAAGCAGTCATTTTGACTACTTGGGAAAGGCGGGATAGCCTGGTTAATAGGGCACTGGGCACAAGTCCAAGGGGGTCGTGGGTTCGATCTTCTCCGGCTGAAGACTTCCCGTGTAGTAATAGCTCCTCGTTCCCTTTGAACGCACTTCAACGTAATAACCGTGAGCTGCACACGTGTCGACTTAGGATAGGCCTGCTTTATGCAGTGATAGTCGTTCTGACACGTTGTTCAGTTGATTTCTTTTGCGCTCTAAATTCATGAAAGAAATGTCGAATAGAAGAGAGTTATTGGAAAAGCTAAAGAACATAGGTGAAGAGTGTTCCGATATAGAATCAGATGCAACAAATTGGGAACTATCATCTGAAGATGAATCGGATTATATTCAAAGTGAGACATCTGATGTTGAAGATAGCGATGAAGAGGCGATCACCAACGATGAAAATGAAAGTATCATCAATGTGTCCANCATTACGATTTTTAATCTTATTACGCCACAAATTCTGTAATCCATATTTAAAAGCCTTTTTTCAAGTAGAATTGATTCAGGTGTAATCGTCCGTTTCATTACGATTTTTAATCTTATTACGCCACAAATTCTGTAATCCATATTTGAAAGCCTTTTTTCAAGTAGAATTGATTCAGGTGTAATCGTCCGTTTCATTACGATTTTTAATCTTATTACGCCACAAATTCTGTAATCCATATTTGAAAGCCTTTTTTCAAGTAGAATTGATTCAGGTGTAATCATCCGTTTCTTTACGATTTTTCATTCTTGCTTATCAAATATTCTTACATAAAATTTTATGACTGTGGAATTAATAAACAAAATATTTATTGTTTTTGACGAAAATCTGAGGGGAAAAAAACAACGAATGAGAGAAAAAAAAGTATGGTGTGTTGAAAACTAAGCCTCTTTCAAATAAAATAAATATTTCTTAACTCCACAAAAATAAAATTTAATTGAACGAATTTGATGATTCTTAATTGATTTAATTTATTGTGTATTTACAAAAGTAATAACATAGATGCAAAAAATAGGATAGATGCACAAAAAAAAACATCCATCCATGCCCCATTTAGTCGAAAGAGTTCATAGATATTTAAACGAAATATTACATAACAGACATCCTTTACCAGTTGTCTGGGTTAAAATAACTTTCGTTTCTCCTTGAGGTTGATGCACACTTATAGGCTAGAAAATTCGTTATGGTTCTTTAATTAACAAAGAAAATCCAGATATTTTCGTTGTTCAAAGCATAAAATTAATACTAGTTAATGAGTTATTTTCTACCTGTGAAATATTTACTGATTCCATGTTTAACATTATTCACATATAACATTTATTTATCATTTATTAGTATTATTCTGTGTTAATTATTCGTTTTTTGATTTTGATTCTTATTCCAAATTGAAAGCCTTAAGTCCAAGAGCTGTTCTCTTCTATTATAAAGAAATCCTACGCCATTAAGATATTATGCAACATTTCATTCACATTTAAATCGAATATATTTACAATTATTTTCAATTATTAAGTGACTTTTCTTACCATTGATAGACGAGAAAATTGATTTGGTTTAAGTTTCTTCCAAGTCGCATCAGGAACTCAAATCTGTAAAACCAAATCTGTCTTGACTGAATAAAATACTTTGGAATCTTTTAATTAAATACTTTTCAGTTTTAAAGTAAAACCTTGCTTAGTGTATTGAAACGAAAAGTGATTACTTGTCGCTCTTGGGGNNGGGGGGGGGGGGGTTGTTCATCCTGGCGAGCGGCGGAAAAAATTTATTTAAGTGCGTAAATATTTGTCATATTTCTAGAGTAACAGAACCTTTTATAGTTCTTAGATGTTGACCCCATCTTATATTCATTATTCTTTATTATTCTTATATTCACCATTCATTAAGTTTTTCAATTCAGCCACAACAAACTATATTTTTTTTTATATTCTAGTTTGATGAATTACTCAGAATGGGAAATTAAAATTGAAAATATAAAATAAATGAAAATAAAATTAAGAGGAGGTTCTACAAAAATCTAAGACGCCAGTCTTGTTTATAGAGATCGGCTTAAGATAGAAAATTATCATTTTTTAAAACTTTTAAAACATAATTGGTCCCATGTATTTCCAAGCATTAAAATAAGATTATTTATTTACAATTTCCTTAAAAAAATTTAAAATTGCCTAAATGTCACTTTTCCAGCCTATCCGAAACTAAGTGTACTTAAAGGTGCAAAAAAATTGTTTTTGTTGATACTGTTCAATAATTTAACTCACCAAGTTGCATCATTTAAAAGTTTATCCCAAGATTTTTCCACTGTTCTCCTGGTGCAACCCTTTTTTATTCACATCATTCTTTAGGATTGATAAATTTCTTTGGTGATAAGACTTACCTGACGTTCTTAAAATAGATTTGAAGTTCTAAACTGAGGCATGCAAATATTTTTTGTTTCACTTTCCTGTACATTTTCTATTATACGTGAAAACATTTCTTTAAAAAAATAATAAATGTTATTATGTGTAATAATGGGATGATTCTAGTAAAAGAACTATCTTAAGCCTAAATCTGTCATTAGAACTCAGAATCAATGAAAATGTCACCCTCCTCTGGCATTTAAGACAAATGATTAACTAACCAACATCGTTAAAGTGAATTCCTTTTATTTTTGTCTTGTTTAGAGCCTTATGAAGAGTTAGCATGATTTTTTTTAAAGATTTTTTAAACACCCACAGTTTTTAAGAATGTGGAATTTGAAAATGTCATGCTTTTTGGAGAATAACCTATATATCGAGTAAATCTGTCACAATCCACATTATTTTCCACTTTTAAAGTACTTTTCTCGCATATTTAGTGCCAGTAATTTGTAGCATTTTAAATTTCTCATGTACTTTTTGATTGATGATACATCAATATGAATTTGTCTTGATTTATCTTTTTCTTATATTTATACCTTAGGCAGTAGGTATGGGAGTGAATCCCCTGCTTGTCATGTTGCCGATTACCGTGGCTTGTTCTTATGCCTTCATGTTACCAGTCGGTGGTCCTGGGAATGCGATATCTTTCGAAAATGGTCATATGAAGACGCAGGATATGGTAACATGAACTTTCTCTTACATCATTTTATAATCTATATTGGGTGTACAAATTAAATCGGTCCGTTTTTTGTGTGATCAAAAATGCATTTATTTCAGAACAAAATGAACAGATTAATCAAAGTATTTTCTATTGCTGGTCACTACTTTTTCCCACCTCTCAAGCATTTTTCGAATTCCATCTCGAAAAAATTTCTCGTCTTTTGAGGCGATCCAAGCTAGGAACCAATTTTCGATTTCTGCAAAAGTGAACTGGTGACCTGCCAAATCATGCTGCATCCGTCGGAACAACCAGTAATCAGAAGGAGCAATGTTCAACGAATACAGCGGGTGCGGTAAAATATCCCACTCGAGCGTTTCTAAATAATTTTTTACGACTTTTGCGACATCAGGCTGACCGTTATTAGGCAGAAAAATAACTTTGTCTTGTCTTTGCTCGTATTCCGGCCGTTTTTCGCGTAATGCAAGGCTCAAACGAATCAATTGTTGTCTACCGATCTCCCGTAATGGAATCACCAGGTTGTAGCAGCTCACAGTATTCAAAACTGTTCACCATTCTTCATTCACCATTCTTGAAGCGTCGAAACCATTCACTACATGATTTATCAGTTGGAGCATTGTCACCATAAACTTCTACAAGTATTCAATGCGCTTCAGCTGCACTTTTCTTCCAATTAAAGCAGAAACATAAAACCTCCCTCAAATGGTGCTTAGCTACCATAAAACTTGACGTACTCAACAAAGTAAAAAACAGGGTTTCGGTATGAAACTCAAAGCGATATAAACAGAATATTATTTTGACAGATGTCTAACCTCTCTGAAACCAGCTGTCACTATGAAACATTCTTAACAGCAGAGCCATCTCTTGAAAACGAACCGAACTAATTTGAACTCCCTATATATATATATATA